ACATACAGCCAGGGCCGCCCCATCCCACATGCAGAGCCCAGCTCTTGCTCTTCTTCATGCAGATGGGGACCACCCTCATGGTTGTCCAGATCTCAGAGCAAGGTCTCTACCCTCAACAGAGTCGACACTCCTCCCAGCTTAACATCACCCAGAAGTTTACTTCATACAACTGCCAGATCTTTATTGGAATCAACAGCAAAAACATTCGAGAGAAAGGACCTCAAAATGGAGCCCTGCAGAATCCCACTGTATGGGAACTGCTGAGTCATGGCCTGAACCTCTGATTAGTCACGTGAGGCGAGCAATGAGTCAGCCCTGGGAGCACAGGTGAAAGCAATTCACCTGTGCTGCAGGAAGGGGTGGAGCCTGGCTCCACCTCTCCTAGACCCATTTAAGAGCTGACTACCAGTAGGGAAGGATCTCTCTCTCTTCGGAAGATCCACTCCACTGGAGTTTCCTGAGCGAGCCCATGACACAGGTAAGTCTCCTATTTATTCTCTTTGTCTCGCTGTGCCTAACTCTCTTGCTTATTTCATTATTATAACATCTCAATATTATTAAATTATATAATATTCCTTTATATAATTTTCTTTGATTATACACCCACTGATGACAAATAGGACAACTGTCAGGCCACAGCCTCCCTTCACCCAACACAGCCATGTTTTGGTTGTCATGGGACATTCATAGGGTTGCACTGCCATGGCCTTATGAGGTCCCGAGCCACCTCCCTGCTGACTGCTACAGACATGGGGACCCTGACAACAGAACGCCAGTCGCTGACCAACTTCTGTCAAGGAAGCACGCATCTGAGACAGAGAGCTCAATAGACAGATCCTTCCTTCCCACTGTGGGAACTTTTGTGGAGGAGGATGGATCCTCCTCCACAAAGAAGCAGAGACTCCTGGAGAGCAGCAGTGAACCTGAACTAAAAAGTGATGTTGAGATTTTTTTTTTGAGGTGGACCTACCTCCAGAGGACAAACTAATGGAGGTGGATCCATCTCCATCAGGCACAGGCAAGCACTATAACATCATGATATGCTTGCTTGGAGACGTCACTATATCTGTTTGTGGTGCAGCATGGGCTCTCCATTTCCATCTCGGCATTGAAGAATCACCATCTGGCTCCACCCCTTCCAGTCACTCAGGTGCATTGCTTGCACCTGAGCTCCCCTGGGTTGGCCCTGCCTTCCCACCAGGTGCTCAATCACTGCTTCAGGCCATGACTTAGCATTTCCATTACAGGTCGGGACTGGGACTGATGTCCTCTATGTTTCTGCATTGACACAAAGGGAAAAGTCCAGTGGATGGCACCGAGCTCCCTGCAGCCTCCAGCAGTGCCAGAGAAGGTACAGAGGCAGCTTCCACTGGAGAAACAGAAGACTTTGGTTTGGACAGGAAGAAGGACTCATGTTCAGCATGAAGGTCCATTCCAGCAGCTCCATTGAGACTTCTGTTCCAAACCAGGACAATAAGCAATTCAAAAGGACAGTACAAAATGATAACGATAATAAAAACCTGAAGCTGTTTTCCAAAGCCAAACCAGTCTTTGCCTCTGCACTGTTAGCACTCCCAGAGGCTGTCCTGGGCCTCCCCACTGGAACAGCTCTGCCCCACAGGGTGAGGCCCAGCCCAGGTCTCAGTGCTGGGGAGGGGCTCGGGCACCTGAGGAAGCCCTGAGGCCTCACTAAGAACAGCAATTGCTGCCAATGAGCTACACTGACCTTCTAGCTGCACAAAAACACACATATGTGCACAAAAAGGCACATATCCACTAGTTTTGCTCTGAAAGTAATGCTGCCTATTTGATTATGTTGGCTCAAGAGGTCAAAGGCAGATGTTGATGGGATGGCAGCAGAGGCTGAACTATCCCATGTTTCCCATTACACCCTGCTGCTGTACAACAGGCAGCAGCAGAGGGGCAGGCTGGCAAAATGGCCGCTGAGCTGGAAGTGCTCATGAATTCCTCCCTGCAGGAAAAAAATGGCACTCACTGACATTACTGACACTTGCTGAACATTGTTGGAGACCAAACAGTGAATATGAGCATGGTTGTGTTTCATCAGTGGTGACAGTGGGTCACCTGTGCAGGTGTAGGCTTTGAGGAGGGCAGCTTGCAGCCTCCTGTTCATCACTGGCAAAACTGCATATCTACTGGTGGTGACTATGTTGAAGAAGTGTGTTTTGTAACTGAGAATTTGCCCTATGAAATAGTATTTTGCCTTTTGTGTCTGCTGCTATTTCCATGGAAATAAGTAGAAGGCATTACTTCTGGAGAAGCCTACACATAATTACTCATGAAGAATACAGCAAGCAGCTGTTTACTATATATCCCAGTGGCTTTGTGGCCTTCATCACCACAACCTGAACTCCTTTCGAATCACCCTCTTCAATTTCTAGCTCCTGGAAACTGGAGTGACCTCAAGGAACCTGCTAAAGTCACTTATAGTCACACTGATTGAACTACAATACCTATCTAAGCCTCTGCTTTCCCAAGCTATCATCTATAGCTCAGAAAGTCACACTTCCACAGAGCCTGGATCAGTCTGGAGGCTATCAAGGACTGATAACAGTGCTGCGATAATGAAACAATCTCACAACAGCCAGAACAGCCATGCTATCCCAATATGCCAGCTAGTAAGCCACAGCTGTATAGCTGGTGGTTACGGAAATGGCTTTTAAATGGTTTGAACAACATTGAAAATGTCACAGTTAGGAAGATTGTAGATTCCTCCTGGGAACATTTTTTATATGTCCTCCCATACTGGGAGGCATTTGATTTTGGGCTTGTTTTCCTGCAGAAACAAGTCTTATGCAACCACAAAGTCTGCATTCCTACCCAGCAACCTTTGTCATTCATTACTGCAGCTCTATGAGATTTATCTGAAACTGGCAGTCCTGTAAAAGTCATGAGAGCACATGGCCGAATAGACAGTAGAAGACTGCCTTCGTGACTTGAAAAGATGAACTCACACTGAAGCCTACTTTATATACCTCTCATAGTTCACTCCGACACCAAAGATCCCAGCTGCTGAAAAGAAATCCCTGCCAACTCAATTTTGTTGACTCTGCTACACATAGAACAACTGGTGCTGCAAATAAGGGCAGAAGAGGCAGTCCCATCTTTTGCACTATCCTTCAGCTTAGTGAAAGTCAGTTGTATGGCAGTAGCCAGTGGGTATGGCCAGTTTAGTGGCAGCCAAATAATGCAAGCCCTAGGACGAGATATTGAACGCAATTGCAGAAGTACTAAAAATATTCAAATTTCAACGTAAGATAATGTATTTGTACCCAAACAACAAAGCACGAATTATCCTGTTATTAATGACTCCTAACTAGATGAGTGTTTTCCTCAGTAAAGGTTACTAGCAACTTTGGTCATATGAACCCCTTAATTCCCCAGGAAGCATCCCACACTCTAACAGAGGGAGGATGGATGAAGAACTCTTTGCTGCTTCCCTCTCCGGGCAATATTCAAGGGAGGACTAAACCATACACATGATCCATAGCAACGCTCAGAGCTGGTATGTGACAGTGTGGTAAATTAGAAGCACATGTGCAAAGGGAGAAGTGTAATGTAATTGGCATGCTTGAGGCGTGATTAAAGCAAGACATTGACTGGGAGATTGAATTACGAGAGTGTCAAATTCGGACAAGGGATGAAGGCAGCAAAGCAGGCATAGTTGGCAACGTGGGGAAGAGAAACATTACATCAACAAAGATTAAATAAAATTGCAGGTTTTGTTGACACCACAGAACCTACTTGCATTAAATAAAAATTGAGGAAAAAAAATACGAAGAGGTGGCAATTGACAGCAGCTGAAACACCTGAGGTCCAAACAGGACATTGTTTTATATGAAAAGAATGTCAGCAGGGCCAGAAAGGAGAAGGAAAAAAACCAAAGTCCTCAAAAGTCCATATTCCTTAAGCAGAAGCCTGTAGAACATTCTGATTGTCCTTTTTGAAAGAAAGCCGAACACAGCCAGCAATAAAAACTTTTGTGAACATGCAAACATCAGGAAGCAGGGTAAACACACGACTGCTCTGTGGCCAATATCACATTAACATCAGCGCAAAGGAAACAGTGCCTGCTATAAAACAAAACAGGAAAGTGCCTCTCTCTGAGAGGAAACAGAAACAAACAGATGAAGCAAATGGCCTTTCTATAACCAAAATGCTACCAAAACATCTACTCACATGCTTTGCAACCAACCTTTCTGCCCTTTGCTTCCAAACCACTTCACTCGATGCTAGCTTGCATGTTAATCGTTGACTAAGCACAGACTGCATGTACATCCTTCCCCTATTTAACAGTTTCAAGATCATATCCCAAAATCTCTATTCTTCTTACTTGCCTAGGAGATGAATATGTGGTGAGAGGGAAATCCTTCAGCTATTAAGTACCAAGTGAATGTACAGATCAGTAGATAGAGAGAATAAAGTAGTGTCAGTTATCAAAAGAGCACCAAAGGAGCAAGCCCAAGGCCCTAAAGGGGCAATTTAATGATAGCAATTACTCTAGCACTCAGAATTCTCCGCTCCCAAAAAAGAAGTTTTTTAAAAGCTCTGTTGCTGCATTAGCCAAGTTATCTAGCTGACTGCAAACTCAGACAAGGCGTTGCCAGTGATGAAGGTGATGTGAGACCATACAACCACACAAAGCTTAAAGGCCAGTAGAAATAGCTCGAAAATCCCTATGGTAAATAAGTGTTAAATATCCTATGCAGAATATCGACTCCAGCAAGTAGGATAACTCACTCACACACACATAGTTAACTACTGATTTTTTATTACTTTTTAGATCAGTAAATCAGCTACGTGTAAACTGTAATATCGGAAAGCTAAATGTTCAGTGTTAGAAAGTTCTTTTTTAAAGGTACTGAGATACCTTAAAAAAAAAAAAAAAAAAAAAAAGAGTCTTGGTTTCAAAGAGCAAAATAGAAAGCTATCTTCCAAAGCAAAGTAATTCACCTTTAAAATTCAACTATTTCAGTTGCCTCCCTTCAAATTACAACAATCAGCTCAACTCTGTGTAAATACACAGAAGTTGTATAACCAGGACTATGTGTAGAAATATCAAGTGTAAAAGCCATGTTACATGAACCTGAACTGACAAAAAGAGGAAATCCCAAACTTGCCTGCTTACTGACAAAGCTATCGATGGCAAAAGATAAATGGGGAAAAAAGCAACAAGAATTACTCAACACATTACAAAGCCCAAAAAGCTAATTTATAATAATGCTAACAGATCCTCGCTATCATACTAGCTTGCTGCAAGGGGCAGGAGATGACAAGCAGTTTATAAACAGAGGCAAAGGACATGGACAGGCACTTATTCACCTTAGCTATTAATTCAGCCACTAGGCTATGTACCAACTAGTGTACCAACCCCCAGCTGGAGAAAGCCTATGAAATTTCACCTGCTTTCTCCACACCTTAACCCTTCACAACCTTGTTTCTAATCTGTCTGCAATGTGATCTGAACTATCCACAATACTCTCAGACCCTGCAATCTCCGAGTACTTGAACACAGTAAAGCATTTTAAGTTGAAATTTATTCATTTTGATCACATTTATCTTCAGGGAAGAGATGTATTTGTGTGTAAAATTTATAACTTCATTTCCTCGTTGAATGCTCCACAAAACTTGTTTATTGTCTCATGTAGTTTCTGCAATGAACATTATCTCTTTACTGCTACCATGAACTACAGATCTCTGTGGTTTTTCCTGCCAGAAAACATTATTTTGACATACCCTTAGATTAGTCATACATAACAGCCCTACAAATCAATCATCTTTTCTACTACTGTATGTCAAGGTATTACTATTTGCTAATGTCATGCTATAACACTTAATCATTAGATTACTTCATTGTTAACTTACTTCCCCAAGCAGTTTACAGATCTTCGGCAAGAAATCTCACTGTTGAAACGTGTTGTCCCACGAACACTGATTGCTCGTTCTGATCAGACTGAAGAGGCAAATCTTTTTTCTTTTTTTTTTTTCTTTTTTTTTTCTCTTTTTTTTTTTTACTATTGCATTTCAGCAGTGCCAGCTCACAATCTGACAATTCGTAACCATCCCAATTTACTGTTTCAAAATGGAGATATGACTAAAGTTGATTTCAGAAATCAGATCTAGACAAGAAGCCTTCTGAAAAAGGAACACAGTGGTAACTTACAAGAGCTGTAACAGGAATATATGAGCACATAGGGTTAAACAAGCTCTTTTTTTAACATATATTTCATTTCCAAATATAAACAATAACAACAACAAAAATTAGAGTCCATTTGCACTTGTACATTTTCCTCTAAATTAAAAATAATATGTAGAATTCAGGAGGAGGTGTCCAGAAAGCACAAACAGCAAGCAAATGAATAGGGGAGAAACTTGAATGTCTTGTTCCTTTTTCACAGTATCTTACACCACAAAAAAAAAAAAAAAACAGACAACCACTTCACACACTTGCTTTCCTTCACATACTTTTTTTTTTTTCCCCCTTCACTCTTTTCAATAGTGCCTTAAGTAGCTCTCTTCTAACCTGGTTAACTTTCCATCTGGGAACTTGAAATCCTGACAAAAGCCATGGAAACGATTCACTCATCACTCCCTTCAGCACCCTATCTCACAAAGGAGACAAACTGGAGAGCCATGTTTGGGACCTGGGAATGATAGCCGCTACCGAAGATGGGGCTTGGGAAGCATCTGTGTTTCCCATAAATAAAGCATCACAGGCTATATTATACAGAGATGAGGATCTGAAAAAAAAAAGGTCATGCCAGAGGCTGCAGAAAATGCTCCTCCTGTAGTACAGAACTTGAGCAGATCAGCAGCTTTTCTGAGCATTCTGTTCCATTTGACAGTAGATAATATGAAAAGAAATATCACAAAGTAGTCATCCCACAATGTTCCCAGCGTTATTAGAGCATGTGCAAGGTGATGACCAGTATGTGCATGGCAGCTGTGCACAAGGCCATTTGCTGCTGCTAAGGAGATCTTACCATTGCAGTGCTCAAACGTGCCACTCAGGTAACCTCGGCAACTCCCCAGGCACCTGTTTACACTGTCTTTAAAAACTGAAATAAAATAAAAGAAATTAAAAAAATGTTAGGAAGGAAAGAATCAAAAATTGCTTGTCATGAGCAAAAACAGGAATGATCTGTAAGTTAATATCTATATCCAAAAGGCCTAGCAGGAGTCTCAATAAATCTCCCATGGGAAATAATTAAATAAAGCTTAACCCTGTAGAAATGAGCCCAATGTTGGTATCACAAAGCTCACTGCACCACTTACATCCAATTTACTCCACACAGCTGTGCTGCCATGGGGCCAGTTCCCCTTACCCTGAGAGGTTTTGGTTTTATTTGGTTTTAAAACCTCAGTCCAGGTTACTCAGACCTGCACTTAGAGCATCCTTTGAATGGTTCTGAAGGTGGTACAGCAGACAATGCCAGAAATCAGCTGTTAATCTGATGTAAAAACTACACGATCTCAGCATAGCTCTTGGTCTGCAGTCTCTGGACAGACTTGAGAAGTGCTGGGGGCAATGGGCTTGCCTTTTCTGTTGCTCTGGGGCTGTGGTATAGAAATTGATGAGTCTCAGGGACAGCAAGGAAGAGAAACCCGACAACGCACTGAGTCCTTCAATACTATCTACAGAATATACTCAGAATCTTCCACTGATATTACTTACTCTAGTAGGCTACTCTCATGCACGTGCAGCAATCTTTAAGGGTTTCTTATTCTGCTGCTCCTAGTACCTGAACAATTGATTCCAGAAGAAAGCCTTGTGAGTTCATCTACTTTGTGCAAGTCAACCTTGAAAGACTGAATCTCTAATGAAGACAATGAAGAAAAACAACACCAACAAAAAAACACTAGTGCCACAAAATAAGCTATTTAGAATTAATGCGTAATTCTGAAAAACATGTAAACAGTGTAATTAACTAATTTAAAAATCAATTCAAACCAATTTGCCTTACTGTCTGGTCCCAGCCAGTGCTTTTTTATTCCCTCCTTACTAGATATTATTTCACACACTGTAATCAAAGTGTTGAAGGGTGCCTTCTTCTTTCATCCGCCCAAGAGGCCATACATCGGACAGTTAAGTTCTGTACTGCCCCTCAGTTCTTTTTCAACAAGAACACTGGCATGAACGCCTCTTGGTATTCACACATCTCTAGACAAACCCTGGCAGCAACCAACCCAGCATGCTGCCTCTATCCTCTGATGCAAATTTGCCCTGTGAACACTTTATTACAGTCAAACAGCAATATCCTCAGCTGGCAATTAACATATACACTCTGAAATTATACTTGCTTACACTGATGACATAGCCTAATTAGCGCAGAAGCCACAGGCTAACACACTGTTGTCAGCTGAGTTGGAACAGTTTAAGAAATGTTTAGCCTCAGGCTGTCTGTTACCACAATTCCAGGGGTGGTTATGCTGGCCAATTTTCATTCCACCGTAACAGCACAAGTCTTCAAAGAAAACACAAAGCTGAGATTAATAATCCTTGTCAGGCTACAGTAACAACCTTCAGCACTTCCTCCTAGCTGCTAGTAGGATGCTCCCGTATTTTGCAATAATTGTAGACAGCCCATACCTACCATTGCTCAACAGCAAAGAAGCAATTCTTGTCAAAGACTTCCTAAAGTTGTAGAAGGGAGAATGTTCTCAGCCCTTGAAAGCAAGCACAGGTGACCCAAGGCTATCCCAGCATCCCATGCTAAAGTTGTTCTGGGTGAGTTTCTCTTTGTTTTAGGTCTAAACAAATAAGAGAGCAATATGCTTCAAACAAGATTGTGGAGGTACATTGCTTCAGACCACATGTCCATCCAGACTCTATCTTTGTGGTTGCCCAATGATGTTGTGGGTGCCCCATCCCTGGAGGTGCCCAACGCTAGGCTGGATGACATTCTGGGCAGCCTGATCTGGTGGGGGGTGACACTCAGCCCAGAGCAGGAGGGTGGGACTGCATGAGCTTTATTGTCCTTTCTAACCTGAGCCAGCCTCTGATTCCATACAATGTGATATTCTGACTCAGACAGTAGCAGTAGTTGCTCCAGTAATGAAAATAAAAGAGAGGACAGAGAAAACCTCTTCCACTCTCACACCTTTTGTTAACTCCTGTTAAGGAACTCAAAGAAAACAGCAAACTGCTGTCACCAGCTCTCCAGGTGAACACTTTCTAATACATCCCTGTTGCCTGAAAAGATCAGTGTAATGGGGTATCTCCTTTTCCAGGTGTAGAGAACTATAGAGAAACTACAGGTTTTCCCATGACAAGAGTAGGATTACTCTCAAGAACCAAGATAAAACCCCATTCACCAGCCCCCACCTGGGAAAGGGCCACACAGGTGTCAGAGACTTCCATTTTCCTTCACATTTGCTTCCATTTCCTTCACAAATTGATCAGTACACGCCATAAAGCAAGAGTAGCAGATCTTACAGTAAGACAATGCTCACCAGAGGCCACAACTCACAGCTGAGGCAGCCCAAGGCAGCTTCTACCACAGAGAAAAGTAAGAATGTCTTCTACACCATACTGGAGCAAAATTGGCCCTAAAAAAGTGCTCTCTTTGTCATTCATGCTAAAATAACGAGGTGAAGCTGGGGGAATTAAGCAAATCAGCCACTTAACACTGCTGCCCTGGACAGACTTTTTCCCTCCCACCTGTCCCCAAGCAATGGCTTCCAGGTGCAAGAAGCCCCACACTGAGGTGGTGTGAGAGCCTCTTGTTGCCTGGGTTGGCTTGCACCTGGCCAGTGTTCAGTCTGAGCTGATAATTAAGCAAACTGAGATCAATTAACCACAGGTGGAGGTTCCCCTCAGGAGGGAGCTGCTAACCCTCAGCAACAAGGGCTGCGTCCCAAAGATCCCCTGCTCTTGAAGGTCAAATAACAAAAACAATATGGTGCCCCTCACACAAGCTGTGTGTTTGGACAGCAGAGTGACAAAAATGGCCTGAAGTCCTCCCTGCTGGGGGCTGATTTCTCTTCAGATGTGTGGAACGTGGGCAGCCCTTGCTCTGCTGACAGGAGGGGCCCACCAGCAGCTCCACGTGGAGCAGTGAGGTTTCCTGGGCTCTGCCACGGCCCAGAAACCAGCTGGCATGCAAATACTGCTGCTGTCCCACCCTCTGACATTCAGACTTCTGTCCTCCTTTCTTCCCCTGTTTGGCAGTCAGTCTCACTCACGTTCACTGAAACTCTCACTAGAACAAAGTAAGGATCGTGATTTGGTATGAGATGCTAACTGTTGATACGTGACTGTTAGATGACCTCAAAACTCATGGTTGCATAATTTGTTTTCCTTCTTTTGCCTATGTTTTGCCTTTGCACCTCTGTTTTCCTCAAGCCACAGTCCCTCTACAGCTGCAGAGACCATTTTGGTGGATAAGGAATTAGGGGAGGTCTCAGCCAGAGGCTGTAGTCAGCGGCACTGCTCTGCCCCTGCGAGTGCCCACATGGAGAACTGTGTTCACAGGAAAGATGTGGAGCTCTTGGACAGGGTCCAGAGCAGGGCCACGAGAATGATCAGAGGGCTGGAACGCCTCTGCTGTGAAGACAGGCTGAGGAAGCTAGGGGTGTTCAGCCTGGAGAAGAGAAGGCTCTGGGAAGACCTCGTTGTGGCCTATTTAAAGGAAGATTATAAACAGGAGGGGAAAACGGGTAGATAAAGGTAGATTATGATAGGTCAAGGGGGAAAAGTTTTAAACTGAAGGAAGGGAGATTTAGATAAGATGTTGGGGGAAGTTTTTCACTGAGAGGCTGGTGACGTGCTGGGACAGGCTGCCCAGAGAGGCTGTGGATGCCCAGGCCCTGGAGGTGTTCAAGGCCAGGTTGGATGGGGCCCTGGGCAACCTCATGTAGTGCTTGATCTTGTGGCTGGCAACTCTGCCCGATGCAAGGATTGGAACTCAATGATCTTTGAAGTCCCTTCCAACCCAAGTTATTCTGAGATGATTCTATAATTCCTTTTCCCTCACACCCTCCCTCCTGGCTTTGCAGCTGAGAGGAATGTAGTCCTTCTGTTCTTCAGAGGAGGGCAAAGATATTTTTTTATCCTTCCTTTTGACCCCTCCTATCCCTCAATTCCTCTCAGTTCCTCAGGAGGTGAAATAGAACACTGCCTGCTTTCCCCAGCACCCAGATGTCTGTTTTGCTTGCAGAAGAAAGCAGGAAAGGTATCCAACCCAAACAGAGATTTCCCCTTGACAGGCAAGAACAGAGTGTGACAACTGATGTGTTTTGTCTTCATGCAAATCCAGAAGGCTTATGAATAAGCTGTAAAAGCTGGCAATGCTGGAAGGAATTAGTATCATAGAAGGTCTTGTAGTCAGAGGAGTTTCAGACTTATAAAGACAAGGACAAAGAATCTCAAGGGGAGACAAATTCATCCCAGTTGCACTTGTGCTGCTGTGAACTGAGAGCAGTTTTCAGTGCTGTAGTTTTCTGTACCTGAAACATGAAGTACATCTGGTTTGCCATGGTGTAACATGAGACTGAACTTTGAATTTTTATGAACACAGAGAAACAGCTGCAGAAGTTAAAATGCACATTAATCCCCTCAGTAAAGTATTTGGCTCAAAAAGGAGTATATAAACTCACATGCTTTGTGCATCATTTCTCATTTATGCTATTCAGGTCTGTTGCTTCTCAACACACACAGTGCAATAACACATTCAGCCACATATGTAACATTAGGTTTAACAAAAGGATATAGTTTGCAAGTACTTGAGACATTTACATCAGTCCCACCTGACAAGCAGGTGGCCCTTCAACATACCTGCAGTTTATTTGTCATCGAAATAACCTAGGAGGTCCAAAATGACAAATCAGGGTAACATCATAGCATTGAATCACATTGGGAAGAAAAATAGACCTTATCTGTGAAAAAATTCTTCATTGCCAGTGTTAACAATCGTGGACATAATCTGCTTTTCAGGCTGTCAGTAAGCACAGAAAAACAGGTTCCAGGGCAAGACAGTCCTCAGAGCAAGAGTTAATAGGACAACCTTGGCTGAAATTAAGAATAGGCTGAGGGGATGACACAAACTTACCTCCTCAGTAGAGGAACAAACTGTACCCTCCTTAGTGATATAACATTAAATACTGCCAGTAAAGCAGTTGCTGCTCAGATCAACAAAAAAAGTACTTTTTGTAAAGGGGAGACTCATCCCAAAAGAATGGGAAACGTGTCTGATTTCATTTTGAAAGAACAGAGTGCAGAGAATTTGAACGTAGCCTGCATCAGGCTTTAAGGTACTATGTGATAAAGATTGTTATTGTATGTACAGGGTCCAGTGAGGCAGTCCTTAATTACATTGAGAGATACTTCATTCCTTGACTAAAACCCTGGAGTTTGGGGGATCTGTTCATGTGAAGTAGTATTCAGGTGAAGAGCTGCAGTATGCTTTCAGTGCTCATTGCTTCTTTTTCTTCATATAATATGAGAGCTCCTAAATGGTTTTCCAAAGAAGCCAGAGAGACCATTGTTTACCTGTTCCTTTTTCATCTATGAGAAGTGCATTACTGCCCTTGATGTCATTACCAAAGTCTGTGCTTTAGCTCTGAGACTGGTGCAGTCAGGTTTACTGTTTAAATTATTTTGGGCTACCTTCAGCTTTGTCTAAGCTGACATCTTGTATAATCCCCTTGTTCTGGCCTCTCTATCCAGGGTACTGTGTTGGAAAACTGCTTATCATGTCTTTAATTGAATCCTTGGTTTTTTAAGTGTTAGAAAATACCAAAATAGC